TTGAACCGTATTTCTGAGAGAGCTGGCTAAATGCACACTGAACCTTAAGGCCATGCCCATCTGTCTCCAACCCCCAGCTGCAATCCCCTGACAGCTCCATGCCATTCCCTGTTGCTGTCACACACAGCAGAGCTCAGCGCTGCCCCTCCGCTCCCTGTGAGGAGCTGCAGCCGCCATCAGGCCTCCCCTCAGCTCCTCTGCTCTGGGCTGAACCAACCAAGGAACCCAGATGCTCCTCTTACCTCACGCCCTCTATGGCGTTCACCATCATCATAGCCCTTTTTTGGAAACTCTCTTTATGCTTCATGTCTTTCTTATTTTTTAGCTGCTTTGTTTTTCCCCCTGTTTAAGGCATCAGAATGGCACGTTTAAAATGAAAAAATGTAAAAGCTGAGATGGTATCTTTTTTCTGATTAACAGCTTAAGAATTCAGCTGATTAAAGGCAAACTGGGATGAAAAATATAAGAACCAATGAAGATAGAGTGAAGACAGAATGACTTTCATACCCAGTGCAGTTCAAAAACAACTGTACTGTGATTATGCAAATCAGCCACTCACGAAAATGCAGAGATTTACATAACGGAGAACAAAAATCTTCACAGTTATGCCTCAGTAAACTTACAGGATTCTTGCACTTTAATTGTGTGACTCACTGTAAGAAAATGATTCCACTCTCTTTATTCAGAGTGAAATATACGTTAGGAAATCACCATTTTGTATGATTTGTGTGTTTTCGGAAGCCTACCCTCTCCTGCCACAAAATGTGATGTATGTGCTTCTTTAAAGAGAAAGAAATAAATGCAAAGCTAGGATTTCTGCTTGTATCAATCAAAAATTTAACTGGGTTTACATATTGCATCACTGTTCTTGTATCAAACATATACTGATACAAACGGTCCCTTCCTTCTACTTGGAACTTCTATTTCCTCATTTCATTAAATTCATCATTTTTTGATAAAATAACTCTTTGCTGGTGCTTATATCAGGGAGGAAACATCAGTGTCATTTAAATTGCATAGACCCTATAGTGTAGTTTTGTAGATGAAATCTTAAAAGGAATCATATTTTTAGTTAGATAAATATGTCTAGCCTACTTAACTTGTGACATTTATGTGTTCTATAAAACATTATTTTTGAAAGATGACTGTCCTATTACAAGCCACATGGAAGGGACAGTTATTTATTCAGCTGGGTATACTTTATTGTACCTTTATTTTTGTCATCACCGTTATTGGACTGTTTTGTTGTTGTTGGTTTTTTTTTTTTGTGTGTGTGTGTGTATAGAAACATGACTTGACATTACAGAATTTCCATGGAAATCCAGAAAGAGAAGACTATAAATTAGACCCTACTACAGCCGGGCTTTTCATGGCTGTAGGTTGATTGCAGGTGAGCTTTCTCACAATATGGCTACATTATATCTTGTTAGACATCCATTAAATCGTGATGGCTTATTTTTCATCTTCAAACATCTTAGGCAAAGGCTAAAACTGGAACTAAAACATGTAATTATTTCTCTCTTGCATACTGACAAAAAAGAAGTGGAAAAACGTCCTCTCAAGATAACCAGCAAGCTTTGAAAGACTCCCCTGTCAAGTAGGGATGAACACAAAACCTTTGGAAGATTTCAATGAGAAACTATATGAGATAAAAAACATGCTGGTCCATACTTGTCTCCCATTGGCAAATATCAGAGAATTGCTGACCATCGCATTTCTCTACTAAGTCTCAGACTCAATTTCAGGTATCCAGTCTGAATCTACCAGAAAAAATACTGCTCCAAAGTCTTCCACATGCCAGGAGTGTTCTTAGACCCAAGTATCCACACTATACCAAAAAGGCTGGTACACCATTTTTCTACTTCTTTTCTCTCTCATATGGCAAAAAATTGACAGAAAGACCCTCCAAAAATGAACTTGTTGGAATAAATTTATTTTCTGCTCTGAGAGATTCTAAAAAAATTTTGCAACCAGCTGGAAGAAGGAAGGTATGATCATTTTTCTACCAAAATGAATTCTTCAGCTTTGTAACTGGCTAACAGCACCTCACTGAAAACTTCATACTGACATAAAAAGAAAAAAATGGTAAGGAAATGTTATAATCTTCCGATAGGAAAATGAGGCGTCCTATTCTCCCACAGATCCAAGAGCTGCTTGTATCATCATGAAAATAATGCCTCCTATTTTATTATGTTTGCCCACAATATCAGAAGTGAATGATGGTATGGCAGTAGAGGCTGAACTTTCCTGCCACTACTCTGTTACGTGTTGTTGCCGTGTGACAGATGGCAGCAGAGGGGCAGTCTGACAGTATGGCATCTGACATGGAAGTGCACGTGAAGCAAAAGTGTGGCACAGTTCCTCCACGTGGAAAAAAAGGCACCCACTCACAGTCCTTGACACTTGCTGAACATTTGTGGAGACCGAAGAGTGGATGTGAGCACAGTGAAGGAGTAGATGTTGTGTTTCAGCACTGGCAACAGTGACAGTGGGTCATCTCCAGTGGTGCAGATTTTTATGACCGTGGCATGCAGGTTCTTGTTCATTGCTGGGTAATATGCAAAGCTAATGGTGGTGACTATGTTGAGAAGTAGTGTTTTATAGCTGAGAATGTGCTCTATCAAATAGTGTTATAGTGCTTTTTGCATCTGTGGTAATACCCATGGAAATAAACAGAAAGCATTAGTTTCAGAGTGACCTACTTACATTAAAAGTTGCACAGACAGCCTTGACCATATTTATTCATTGAATTATTCCTTTAAACAAAAACTATGTTTAAAATAAAAGAGGTTTGTTTTTTTTTTTTGTCTTTGAGGAATTCAAAGTAATAATCTCAAAACCAGAAGACATCAGTACTAAAAGCAGTGCAGGGTAACTGCTGAAGCAACATTATTACTGAAGGAAAAAGGAAGAAGCACAAAAACTAAGAGACAATAGGAGATACTTCGATAGTCTTAAGTTTGAAAGACTTTGTGCTTGTGTTTCAAGACAGGGACTTGGTGAAAACTTTAAGACACTGTTCTGTCAAAAAAATAAGTATGAGTTTCTTACAGCTAGGTGGGGAAAACTAATAGGAGAAGTTAATACAATTACAAATGATCAAGCTAGTCATTTACCACTATCTGGAAGAATGATCGAACAAAGGCAGCTATTTTGGATTAATTCTTCTCAGCTATGGCAGGATTACCAACAACCTCCATAGTTCTCTAAAGAAGCAGATTCCCTTTTAGTTTAACGTTACATTCAGAGTACTTCTCCATATTAGGAAAAGAAAGATGCAACACGTTCTGTTTGCACTCTTAGCAGAAGGCACCATATTTTATAATTGCTAAAATGTATTTCATCATACGGTTGTCTTATGGCATAGTACACTTTCCTCTGAAAATAATTCAGTCACATGAAAGCAAGTTATTTCTTTGCATAAAAAAAGAAAATAAGATTTCTTTGGAAAGATTCTCAAAATGAGTTTCCATTTGTTTTCATTGTTATTTTTAAAAAGAAGGTAGCAGTGCATTCAAAATTCCTTTGTTTTCCTAGCACATTTCCAGTTGTCCATATACTGGGATCAAAGCTTACAAAATAAAATAATAGTTACACAAAAGTATAATTCACCTTGTTTATATAGAATGGGGAGCTGCAAATTAAAAGAATATGGCTCAAATGCTGACCATTTCTCCCTCAGTGTCTCATTTTTTTTCCCTCTTTTTTAATTCTAGCAGTTTTGTTTCTCCCATGATATCTTCGAGCAGTTTCATTTCAGTATGGTCTGCACTGGATTGTGCAGATTACCAAACTAATGACATATGGACTTCTTACCACTGTAACACATCTACTCCTGCAAGTGAGAATTTTGAGCGACGGAGCAAAGCTGTTATCAATTCTGCAAAAACTGCATCTGCCAGATTGCCAAGACCCATCTCAGAGATTAAAAAAATAATAGATTAATATTCCAATTTGTTTCCCATCTTTATCATTCATGCAGCATTTCCGTACACAAATGATAATGTTCTAAAAATGAAAAATACTTGAAAATATTTTGCATTTACATTACTCTGAAGTTAAAATTATTAGAGATTCAATTTCTCTGTATTGCCTGCTATGGAAGCACAGACACATTAGACACATAGAGTTCAACCTCCATTTATAGAAAAGTGCTAACATTATCTGCTTGTATGATTTGGTTAAAAAAAGAAATTCTAACTTACATAAAATGATATGGAAAGTGCTGAGTTAGTTGCATATTTAACGCACATTAATGTGTGTACTAAAATATACCACACAGGTTCAAGCAGACTAATTATCATGAACAGCAGAAAGCTAACAAATATATAAACCAATGACTCAACTCTGAATCAACAATTTCTAGCAAAGACCGAAAGAACACTAATGACTTGAAACCTATTGACTTGATGGAAATATGAATTGGTACTTTTATAATATCCAGCATAGGTCTAAGAACTCCTGCCAACAAAGTTCAATGACAGATCTCAAAGAATGACATTTTCATAGAGCTATCTCCTTGTTGGAAAGCCATTCTTTTCCCCTCCATTTCTAAATTTTCTAATCTCCAAAGGTACGCAGTACCTTTATTTTTACAAGACTTAAGAAGTTGGGTTGAATTTGGCTTTCAGGTAGTATGCATACACCATTTGGAATACACACAAAACCGTTAGTGTTACTGTTAGGAAATACTTTGCTCCTTGGCCCCATTACCACTGTGAAGTCCTCTGGCCTGTCCAGTTTTAATGACCCAGCAGTAATTTATCAGTAAAAGTTGCAAAGATGATCTGAAATATCAAGAACAGTCTGAAATCCCATACGAGTTTGTCTCAGTATTTTCCACCACAATTAATTCTGAGGAGCTCGCTAAACTGAGTTTATCTTCTGATTATTTTAGCTTGACTTGAAAACATGTAGTACATTCTCTAAATAAACATCAGGACATTTCTGTTAAACCTAATCTGCCAGCAGAAGCTTTTAATCAGTCAAGTTTTACTCACATGGAATTTTGTTCAGTTCATTCATGAACTTCTCTTTTAACTTAGAAAATGCATCTTCTTTTCCTCCCCCTCCTCCAGGAGCGGCTGGCTCGGTGACATTGCTTGGAGGAACTGCTGCTACTGTGGTCGCTGGCGGGGCTGCCAGGGCCTCATGATGACTTTCACTCACCATTGTAACCCCTGTGGAAGCTGCTGTTGGAAAAACAACAAAAAAAAAACAACAAACAAAGAACATGTTTACATCATGAAAACAAGAGCAACAGCAAACTGAGAACGTTTACATTATGAAAAAGGATCTCATATCAATCAAAGATGAAATAGGCAGGATATCGCTTGGTGCTCATGCTTACTGAGTAAATATGACCGTGTCAACGCACTGCTTCGTGTTCTTCATACAGTATTTATTAGAACAGAGAGAAAAGTCTCTTGCAGGGTTAATTTCAGCCAGAATCATTTTAGTGCTTAGTGTTCCTCTTCAATTACATTGAATTCTGAACCGCTGAAATTGAAAACTCAGAATTCTTATAAAACTCACACAGATTTACCTTTTGCTCTTCAATTCTGAAAGTAAAGGCACAAAGGGTAATTAGTGCTCCCTCTGTGCAGATTTCACAATGATTTACAGAATTACTTACCTAGGAGAGTTACAGAAGTGCAAATTACAGCCAGAGTTTCAATATCAAACAAATGAAGTGATAAGGATGTAGTAAAAACACTTCATACCTCCCTGCCAAAGTAATAAGCTATTGTTTTATACTTAAGCAAGTTGTATATTAAACAAGAATTGATTTGCATCCATTTTTATCTTTATTTATTGAAGGCAATTTTCCTTCCAGATATTATGTGTGACATTTGCTACTGACAATATTCTGTTAAATTATTCACATGTCTCATTGGTGTATTCATGAAGCTATGACATCTGTGGGGTATCTAAATGCAGCCATACTGAAGAATCTGAAAGGCTGTCACAAGCATGACACATTGCCATATTTTTCATTTAATGGGCATTTTGCAAAACCTCTGCTTGAGCTTATGGTATGAAGCAAAGAATTTGGGGCCAGCGGGGTGAAGGTGATTACACAGTGCAACTTAAGTACTATCAGAAGATTGGCTGAAATGTTTACATTGGATTGAACACATTGTTCTGAATTTATGCTGCTTCCTAAATAGCACTAATCTGACTAATCATGCTTTGTTATTCTTCAGAAAACCAGAGGGAGAAAGAGTTTGAAAGATAACAAACACTCATTATTGCTCTGACTGCACAATTGCTCTCAGTCCCAAAAGAAACTTGGCCTTGGACCTTCTGCTGAGAAATTCAAACATCATGCAAAAAAGGCAACACATCAAAATTAAAGGGGCATAGGAGCATCTGACTGCATGCAACATGATAGACTGTGAACTTTCCTGCCCTACGTGACCACTTTCATAGATGCTGCTAAGTGTAACACTATAATATGATAGCAATACAGTGGGGTAGCAAAATCCTACACTGCAGCAAGTGAGGATATGCCTAAATGCAGCAGCTGTAGATGCTGAAACAAAGAATCTGCTTATCCTGGGAAGGCCTCAACTAGGCAAGCATCTCCAGTAGCAAGCATCTCCTTGCCTCCACTGCCAACCCTTAAGTGAGGTCTGGGAAGGAGTGGATCTTGGCTCCACTCTCTCCAGACACTGAGGTGCACTGTGTACATCAGAGCTCCCCTGGTTGACCCTGCCTTCAGGCTCTCAGTCACTGTTTCAAGCCGTGACTTAGCATTTCTGATATGTTGAAAGTGCTGAAATCACTAGATCCAAATGAGGATTGGCTTTTTGTCCTTCAGCTTTTCTTGTGTAAGCCCTCAGTTAGGAAGATTCAGTGTGTGCCCAACTGCAGGCCGACAAACCTGTGGAAATCACCTGTCATTACACAGGGGTCTGCACATAAGTGTATTCTGGAACAGAAATCATCCTTCAACACACCATCTGAGTAAAAAGGTGTTTACTAAATAGAGGATTGGCCTTGTTCTGAAGAAGCAATTTGATGGATATTTTGCAGCAATTTTATTGAGGCAGCGCTGAATGAAGCAGTATTCCCTGCCTGCCCATTGCTTCTGCCTTTGTCCTCACAGTCTCTAGCCTAATATAAAATCATGTTGATGTTGACAAAGTACGTGTATGTGAGATAGCTACATAAATATTTCATACACATGCGGTCTTATCTATTTGCCTGTAACAACATGGAAGCAGTTTGCTATCTAAAGCAGACCAAAGCTGATGGAAAGATTCCAGTTAATATCCATGAACTTTGGCTCAAGCTTGATGTCTGTGAAGATTTCCCCCCTTGCCTCTCACAATAACTATTGAGAAAAACATGTAGTGCATAATTTGTGTAGTACAGAATTACGTGCCAGCTCTTTCAGGCTAGGAGACTTTTTCCATATGCTCTGATGAATGCCAAATACTATGAAGCAAAACACGCAGAGCCATCAGCTGTAAACATTAATGCTGTTTTATATTACAGCATTTTGTCAGTGAATGTCAGTTACATCAGAAGAAAAGTTGTATGATATATCATAATTAAATCAAAATTAAATTGCTTAATTATAATATATTGCTTAATTATTTCAGGCCTGGCAGTCGACTATTTTATTTTATAACGGAAGACACAATTTGCAGTGATGACTTTCAGCTAATTAAAAATTAAGGCAAATGTAATTTATTTGCTTCTAGTTTTGGAGCTGTATTTTGAAAATATATAAAAAGAATAAATTTGGAGTGCTACATTTATTAAAAAAAAGAAAAGGAAAAAGTAACAAACTACTGTATTTCTCTGATCTCCAGGAACAATCCTCATCTCAGCAGAGCCCTAGTGCAGATAGAGGTTACTACATCTAATGAGGCATGCACAAATGCTTTGAGACTTGCTACAGAGCCTTTGACCTTTACATGCCAATGACACTGTCCTGATATTTTAAATAGGTGTGAAGAGGCTGAAGAAGCATCTCCTCCCTGAAAAAGCTGTCTGCAGGAAAGAATTTTCTGAAGAGCACATGCTCACACCCTCACAGAGATAACATCTGATAGCTTCTATTATTGTAATGCTGCAGCTTCCCACCATAATGGTATAAACAGTCATATTATTAGAGACTGCAGAGTACTGGATAATTAGATTTAAATTGGCCTTTTACAAGAAAAAAAAAAGAGGTTACTTTAGTGCTGCAGTGCATTGCTAAAGGTAAAGATCTACAAAAGATGAGCAGATTATCTGCCATTTACGAAATGGCAGTTGCAAGCAAAAATTTCTTATAGGTTAAAAAATGGAAAGTCATAGAATTCAATTATGCTTCTAGTGTGGTGTTCACTACTGTGATGATACTGCCAGTCATGAAACAATACGTGCTGCATGTGTAACATGCAGTCATAAGGAAGAGCACATTTATGGTCATAAGTAAAATACCTATTTCTTTTACATGCTTCTATAAAACGCAACACATAGTCCCTGCGCATGCTGACTCTTTGGTATACACTGCCCATCCTCAGTAGTGCCATAAAATCCTTATGAAACACTTGTGAAGCAAACGAACAAACAAACCAAACCCCTGAAAAAACACATAGAACACGTGGAAGTAATGCCTGTCATTTCTATACAGAAATAGGCAAGTGTTGACTGAAAATGCAGACATGGTGATTTAAAGCCTTGAGGAAGTCGGGGATTTAGAACCCTACTGTTCCCTAGGCAAGAAAAATCCTGACAAAAATGACTATCAACTCCAAAGCCTACAGAATTTCTACATCATTTCCTCTGAAAAAGAAGGATCTGAATAATTTACAAATGCACCCTGGAGATTCACAGAAAGGAATATATTTTCTTATGGAGGTACAAAGTACTGGCTGATTGCCTCTGCATTCTGGTATGGAACGTGCTGGTGAGAAACTTGTTGGAAGACACCTCTTGAGAGAGGAGTAAAGAAGAGAGTCAGACTTCAGATGTGGCTGATTACAGAGCATGAAGTAGCCTCAGAAAAACTCGTGTTCCAGGGGCAACAATTTCTCTTTGCAAACATTCAGGCCTATCTGAAGTGGGACGTGCTCCACCTGGAAGGACTAATCCCAGGGGAAACTGATACTTGTTTTAAATGGCTTATGAAAAATAATCTGAATAATGTGACAGCATTAATGAGAGAGATGTGGAATGTTCACACTGATTCCTGTGAAATTCTTCAGGATATGGAGTGAAAGCAGAACAGTGTACCATCTCGAGCAGGCTCCTCAGGGCAGTGGTCACAGCACCAGACCCACTGAAGTTCAAAAATTATTTGAACAATGCTGTCAGAAACAGGGTTTAAATTTTGTGTGGTCCTGTGTTGTACTTGATTTATCCTTGTGCGTACCTTCCAATCTGTGATATTCTATGATTCTGTGGTCTTCTGCCAAATAATGGAGACTGTTATACTTGAATTAAAAAAAAAAAGAATGGGGAGAAGGGAAATGACAGCAAAGAGAGTTTGTATGGTTCCTATGTGGTTAACTGACAGCACATACACCTCAGCAGATATTGAAGGATTTAGTGCATACTTAATCCTATGGACAGAAATTTTCTGCATGGTGTATTTCAGTCAATATAGTTTTGCTTACTTTTTCCCTTACTTGCTGAATACAAACAGGATACAGTGAGATGGTGAGTAGGTCAGACATCCCACGCTGACCAGAGGAGGTATCATGAGGTATTAGAGACTGTCCTTTTACTTTATTGCTGCTCAGATTTTTCTGCCATAATAAAAATTGAAATTATACAAATGTAGCGTTGCAGTGAGTAACTGTGTAAATTCTCAGAGGTAACTGTCACCATTTATTCAATGCATATTGCTGTAGCTGTAACAGCTGCAGTCACTGCATGTCCATTAGCATGCAAAGCTGTAAACTGGCATCTAGACTGCTAAGTGGTATTTCCTGCACACCTTTATCTCTTCAGCATCCCAGTAGTTACATAAAACTTGGAATGTGATCATGTTATCTGAGAAAAAAAAAATCACACAGAAATATCACTCATATTATTGTGTTATTTTTGTTTGCAGCTGCCATGCCCTGAGAGGAAGAAATGATTGGCTTTCAATGGTACTATGGCCAGGTAAGTACCAGAGAAAGATCTGACACCACAGTGAAAATTTACCCTACTCCATTAGACTGTTTTAATGAAATTAATTCATCAT